ATTTTATTCTATTGTGTGATCTTTGCATTCTTGGTAGTGCTTTATTGATAATTCTATTGTTTTCTTTCTTTTTCTGTCCCTATAAGTTCATACTTTTAATATTTGCCTAATATTTACATTTTCTACCATTGCTTGGTTATATATTTATATCTTGTATAAATTCGTGATGAAATGATAATGTTATCACAATGTGATTTCTCATTCTCTTATTTCACAGTCTTTGATTTAAAGTCTACTTTGTCAGCTATACCTGTAGCTGTTGAGGGTCCCATTTGTTTTGACTTTCTTTCTATATGTGTCCTTAAAATTGAGGTGAGTCTCTTTTATGGAGAAATAACACCTCTTGGTCATGGCATTTGGACCACATCATCTTTCTTATTTGACACATCAATGGCTTTCATTTGGTATTTTACTGAAAGGTATAGTATTTATCTATGAGTGATATTTGACTGTCTTTGGGTTGGGTTGCATAATTTTGTTTCTTATAGTCTAATCCATTTCTCTGTTGATTTTGTGCTATAATGCAGTTTGAAACTCTTTTTTCCGTTAACCATCTACTATTTATTTTATTTGTGCTTACCATGAGTGTAGTGGGTAGGTGTTCCATCTTTGACCTGGAGGTACTACCCCCATTGAGGCTTCCAGTAACTGTCACGCCTACGAGGTGGGCCAAGACAGGAGCCCTTAAGACCTGAGATCTGAATGTGCCATCTCTTTTGGTTCCAGGGTCCTGAACACTGGAGGTAGACCAAGCAGAGTTCACCAGACTGCACCTCACCTCTCCCAGACCCTGTAACCTATCCTTTTTTTTTAATTTATTTTAATTTATTTTGCAATACAATTCAGTTCTACATATCAGTCACAGATTCCCTTGTTCTCCCCCCTCCCGTCCCCCTCACCTTCACCCCAACCCCCCCCCCCCATTCCCATCTCCTCCAGGGCAAAGCCTTCCCCACAGACTGAGGTCAACCTGGTAGACTCAGTCCAGGTAGGTCTAGTCCCCTCCTCCCAGGCCGAGCCAAACAATCCTGCATAGGCCCCAGGTTTCAAACAGCCAACTCATGCAATGAGCACAAGATCTGGTCCCACTGCCTGGATGCCTCCCAAACAGATCAAGCCAATCAACTGTCTCACCCATTCGGAGGGCCTGATCCAGTGGGGACCCCTCAGCCATTGGTTCATAGTTCATGTGTTTCCATTCATTTGGCTATTTGTCCCTGTGCTTTATCCAGCCTTGGTCTCAACAATTCTCGCTCATATAAACCCTCCTCATTCTCGCTAATTGGACTCCCAGAGATCCACCCAGGGCCTGAACAATGGAGGTAGACCAAGCAGAGTTCACCAGACTGCACCTCACCTCTCCCAGACCCTGTAACCTATCCTTTTACTTGTAAGCTACCCCACAAAATAAACCCCCCTTTTACATGAAGTTGCCTTAATACTTCCACCACTATATGAGATTCAATAATATATCAAAAAAAATCTGTTTTAATAATGAAAAGCTTAACTTTGACCTCATTCAGTTGTACTACTTTTGTATCACTTAATGTAAGCCAAAATAATTACTCTGAAGCAGTTCATTAAATAATTTAGTTATCAAGTTGAAAGTTTACAAATGATCATAAAGCCACTGTGGCTTGATGTGTTATACCAGATGCTGAAATATAATAGGTTTTAAAAGGGTTTAATCCATATGGTGAACCTTTGAAAAGGAGATTTCCTGTTTGGGTTTGAGTGTAATAATCATTACCTAAGTGCCTACAAGACATAGAATGCCCAATGTGTAACTAGCTTTCTTTTCCTTCATTAGTGTTTTCACTCTGTTTGCATTTTTCAGTGTTAGACTTTAATGCTCAGGCTGCATGTGTTCTAGAAACAGACATACTCTTAGTCGATATAAATACAGTATATTTGGAGTTTATCTACACTTATATTTGGACCAAAACATCTTCACAACCAGCAATCAACTTCTATCATTCACAAATTGAAAATTACACATTCCCTAGATTTTTGTAGACACATTTTAGTAATTTGTATTACAGTGTAAAGACAACCACTGGATTCTATTTTTACTTTTAATATATTTCTTCCCAGTTGAGTTTTGGGGTACATTTTATCAGTATCTAGTCCAGGATTTGCTGGAAGTTTCTTTCGTGTCTGGAATTAAAATTCCGTCAGTCAGCAATGCAGAAACCTGTCATGACCCCTGGCCTGGTTTAACTTTTAATAGATTTAAATAGATTAATTCTATGATATTGAAAGAACATGGATGCCTACATATAGCCACAAAGCAACCAGGAGCATTCCAGTTTAGAAACAAAAATAAATCAAGGTCACAAGGTAGAGTGACAATATAACCATTACTGTAGTTTCTGAAACTGAAACTGTACTATGAGATAAATGTCCAAATTAATTTTACCAAAAACATAAAACAAGGGTATTCTCTATTTCAGATATCTATGTTTAGACAAAATGAAAAACTGAAGTTTGCACATTTCCAACATATTATTCTGGGTCCAGTAATGTCAGTAACGGTCATACTCTAGTGTATACATGGAATTTAAATACCCTTTTAATTTATTTTATTATCAATATATGAAATATATGGATATAATCCTTACATAAATCCATGAACACTGGTACATACAAGTGAGATTTTTTATTTTTAGTTTACTGGTTTTTACTTTTACCTTTTCCATTTTTCTTTTCCTTTCCCAAATTAATCACCACACATAACTGATGAAGGATATACTTCATTTATCATCCCTCTTTTATAAGTAGATACTGGGTAGAGAAATGTTAACTAATACTTAAGGATTCAATTTCAGAGACTGCAACTCTTTTGCTTCCACAACTTTCTATGAAAAGTATTAAAAAAATGCTGACCTATATTGTTGAATATTGTGTTTAATGACTATGAGAGTTTGATATTTAAGTGGTAGTTTCAAGAAACATTAAAAGCAGAACATATGCAACACATAAAAATTAATTTTAGAGAGCTGACGAAGGTAATTGAATGTTTAAACTCTGGTATAATATCCATGAGGACTTAGGATTGATGCTCAGATCAGAAAACAAAAATAACACAAATAAAAATGATTTGGGAGAAATGCCTGGGGAGATAATAACAGAAGTATCACAATACTCCTTGAGCAACTTTTGTAGAATACTATGAAAGTCATCGGGTCAGTTCTGTGCAACTTTACTGTGACAATGTGGGATGAGAGAAAGAAACAAACAATGGATTTCTTCAAAGGAGGTGATTAGGAGAAGAGAATTTAATTTTGGCTCAAGTACTGAGGATACACAATCCCAAAAGACCAGGACAGGCATTGATTGAATCTCCAAGGCACTAAGGATACACGCTGGTCTAACATGTATAAGCCATCACTTCAGTCCTTTTAATATCTCTCTTCAGTCCCCTGCAAGAGCCCAAGAATGCATCTGGAGTATTCTGAGTGCATTATGAAATGAAACCCATAAGAAAATGGAGTTTCAAGCAGCAGACGTGATATAAGAAAATTGGTTCCTTTTCCTCTTGTTGTTTTACTGAATTAAGAAGTAGTGATACAACCTGTGGGCCATAATTCAGAAAGGTGTCTGGAAAATGCCTGAAAATAACTTGTTAAGCATTCTCATAGAATCAAAGCAATCAAAGACTCAGGACCTGGTATTGGCTTTCTAAGGCAAAAACAGTAAGTAATAACGACAATGAGTCCATGTTTTTTTTTCTCTTCTAAATGGGGTAACTTTTAAAATCTATTGTCATTAATATGTTAATTTTTATTTAACTTATTTGTTGAATTACTACTAATGTGTAAATAGTATATATGTCATATAATTCTTGATGTTTTGACCAAGAAAGTGCATTGTTGAAATGAACCAATGATGAAGTTAATATGTCTACACCCTTTGTACATTTGTGTGTTTTGTGCAGATAGTTGTGTATATAAAATATGATAATATAATGTCATTTTAAAACAAACAGAGATATAAAATATAGTACTATTAACTTGTTTATCATTGCTGAACATTTGAAATCAAGAACCTTTTTTTTTTTCATAATTGAATATTCTTGAACTTAGCCAAGGCTCACCTGTTTTACTCTCCTATGGGTTCCAACAACCAACACCTTTCTTTCTCCTCCTGAGAATGTGAGCATTACAAATTTCACATGCAGGGAAGATTATGCAGGTTTTCTCCTGAATTGCATTGCCTTTTCTGTTTGTACAGTAACTTTAGCTTGAGACTAGTCCAAGGATCCATGTTGTGCCTCTTTCTCTTTGTTTAGGGCAGGCTTATGATTCAAGTGAAATTCAAAGAAAAATGCCTGAGAAGGGTGAATTGACACCATCCAGAGATACAGTAAACATTTAAGTTGCAGTGCTTTTATTTAGTAACCTACCTCTCCATGAAAAATTTAAAATTCCTTGAGACCATGCATGTTCCTGAGTACCTTAACTATTCCTAGATTCTGGAACTTCTATTTTGTGTGGAAACAATGCTCATGATTTGCGCTCCACAGAGCTCAAACTGGCATCAGTACGAGGTCGCTATACCTTCCTTCTACATCCTAAAGGGATAAGGATATAGAGGATGAGAAGAGAGATGAGCATTTCTGTCCTGTTCCGTTCCACTGCATTTTTCTCTAGATTTTTCTAGCAGTTATTGTATAATGAGAATAATTAACCCAGTAGTGTAGTCTACTTGTGATATTGTGTGTGTGTGTATTTCCATGTGTGTGTGTTTGTGTTCATAGAGGGGGAGGTGTCACTGTAGAACAGGCTACCTTACATTCACAGAGGTCTATCTGCCTTTGTTTCCCAAGAGCTAGGATTATAGATGGGCATTATATTCATTTAGTAGGGAAGAATGCCACTTTGTATCATGTAACATCATAAGTGGGTACACTGCTTTCAAGTGGGTCATTGCATTCCCAGGACATTTCTCAAGATTATCAGAGATAGTTGTCAGTTGTACTTTTTCCTATACTTTTGCCATTTTTTTTTCTCCCCAGATTTTCTTGGCAAACAATGGCTGCAGCAAATGGCTCATTAGTGACAGAATTCATTCTCTTGGGGATAACAGAAGAGCCTGACCTCCAAGTACCCCTCTTCTTACTCTTTCTAATAATATATATGCTAACCACATTAGGAAATTTGACCTTGATCATTCTAATTGTGCTGAACTCTCACCTCCACACCCCCATGTACTTTTTCCTCTTTAACTTGTCCCTCATAGACCTCTGCTATTCTTCAGTGATTACACCCAAAATGCTGATGAACTTCTTAGTAAAGAAGAATGTTATCTCTTACACAGGGTGCATGACTCAGCTCTACTTCTTTTGCTTTTTTGGCATTTCTGAATGTTATGTGCTAACATCAATGGCCTATGATCGTTATGTGGCTATCTGCAATCCACTCTTGTATAACATTGCTATGTCCCCTAAGGTGTGCTTCTATCTTATGCTTGGATCGTATTTGATGGGGTTTTCTGGTGCCATGATTCACACTGGTTTCATGCTGAGACTGACCTTCTGTGATGGGAACACCATCAACCACTACTTCTGTGACCTCCTCCCTTTACTGCAGCTCTCCTGCACCAGCACCTATGTCAATGAGATGGAGCTGTTCATTGTAGTAGGAAAGGACGTTGTTGTTTCTACTTCCATCATTTTTACTTCCTATGGCTTCATTCTTTGCACCATACTCCAGGTGAGGTCCACTGAGAGCAAATACAAAGCCTTCAGTACCTGCAGTTCACATTTATTTGCAGTTTCTCTGTTTTTTGGATCAAGCACATTTATGTATCTTCAGCCCTCCTCAGCTGGGTCTATGAATGAGACGAAAATTTCTTCCATCTTTTATAGTATCGTGGTTCCCATGATGAATCCCTTAATCTACAGCTTGAGGAACAAAGATGTTAAAGTTGCCCTGAGAAAAACCCTGAGTAGGATAATGCATTGATTACCATTCTATTTAACCTTTGTCTGTAGTTAAACCCCAGAGAAATTATCAGTGGCTAGTGCTTTGTGAGTGCAGCTTTCTTGTTACATTTCTTTCTTCCATGGGTTCTTATGTATGAAGTTATATTGTTTTCAGGCTCTTCACTCTTTAAGGTTAATAAAATGCCTTTGTGGAACAACAGTTCTGTCTGCCACCTGAAATGAAACATGAATCCTGCTTGATTTTTGCAGGTGTAAAGAAAGGATCACACATTCATTCCTCAATGTCTGAAACATATTAAAAGAATCAATTGAGTTGAATTAGTTAGCTGTTTGATCTCATATTTTTAGAGTCTTTTCAAAAGTAGATAGCCACAGCTGGGCGGTGGTGTTGCACGCCTTTATTTCCCAGAACTAGGGAGGCAGAGGCAAATGGATCTCTGAGAGTTTGAGGCCAGCCTGGGCTACAGAGTGAATTCCAGGAAAGGTGCAAAGTTACACAGAGATTCCCTGTCTCGAACCCTCCCCCCCCCCGCCCCCCCCCCCAAAAAAAATAAAGTAGATAGCACTTCTCAGTCAGGAACTTCATAATCTTTTTCTTGTGTTTCATTGTGTGAATGGCAATATAGAAGATCTGAAGAAAATATAATTATACTGAAGTTCTCCCAACTGAGTGTTACAACAGAATTATAATTCACCTTTGACAAGATTATAAGGAAATATACCCAGCCTGCCTAATAAGGAATGTTAAATAGGTGGAGATGGAAGAATTAGGAGTTCTAGTCTATCCTCTGAATGCATTCTAAACAGACACCTGTGCCTGGCCCTTTGGCTATCAGAATATCAAAAAATTAGACTACAATAAATGTTTATTTCTCTAGGAATCTCCTGCTGGGAGATAGATCGAAGCACTAGGGACAATTTGTCTGCCAGAAGAGGATCTTGTCTCATCTAGAAAGATTAACAACTTTCAGATCACTTTGTAAGAAAGACTGATCTCTCAGGAGAGACATAGAACTAAGTCAATGATGCATAGGACCACATCTTAAGCAGACCACATAATTGTTTATGATTTTGCCTTTTATTTAAATCTTTCCATCAAGTCAGGTTTCCCTGAAAATGGCCTTGGGGAGCAAGTTGGGTGATCTCTATATTCTGCTTTTCACTATTAATTTGGCTTTTATTTGTTTATTTTTGAGATACTATTATATACAACATGTCATCCAACTCTTTCCCCCCTCCAAACCCAGCCTTAAACCCCTCCCTGTTCTCCTTCAAATTCATGGAATATTTATTCATTAATTCTCACTAAATGCATATTTGTGTTTTTAAATACATAGATAATAATTTGGCTCTTAATTGACATTTGGAGAATGGATGTTTGAATCTGGCTTATTGGGGCAAAAACTGTGAAGACAATTACATTAACAGAGATGAATGATTCTACTTTATTTGGGAAATTTTGGCTTCTACTTCAATAAGAATATGAGTCCTAAAGATGCAAAGACAATTTATTAATGAAACTATGAATTTGAGTAATTGATTTTTTTAAAGTGATTCTCTGCTCAGAGTTGGTGTTGGAACCACCAGGTGTGGTCTGCAAGAAGGTTGATTAAATAGGAAGCAAACACTTGTAAATGTTAGAGATGGTCTTTTAAGACAACAGCTGCTCTTAAAGACCAGACTCTTACAGCTTGAAGGGATTGGCCAACAACTGACAAAAAGAAAAATTAAACAAAGAAATAGGGGGAGTGAGAGACAGAGGGATGGAGGGAAGGAGGAGGAGGGGAGAGGGAGAGAGAGAGAGAGAGAGAGAGAGAGAGAGAGAGAGAGAGAGAGAGAGAGAGAAGGAGGAGGAAGAGGAGGAGGAGGAGGAGGAGGAGGAGGAGGAGGAGGAGGAGGAGAAGAAGAAGAAGAAGAAGAAGAAGAAGAAGAAGAAGAAGAAGAAGAAGAAGAAGAAGAAGAAGAAGAAGAGACAAAGAGAAAGGTTAGATATGATGTAGGGAATGGAAGTCCCTCATTTCCCCTCCCTGCTGGTCAAATTGCAAATTGATTATTGGTATACTTAGAATACTTACAAAGTTATCAAACTTTATTGTTCTGTAATTTCAGAGTTTATAATGACCAATCAGATGCATTTGAGATTAATTTGAAGTCATGTCTTAGTTTTCTACTGTGATCCACTACCAACCTGTAGTAAAGATAAATCTTACTATTGTTTTATTTTATTTCAATGTATTTTCTTATTGTGTAAAATCTATAAAGTTAAATAATACATGTTGGATTTTATCATTATATATAGTAATATATTTTTAAAGTTCATTTCCTCTGAACTTACTGTTTTAAAGCCAGAATAAAATTCTTATATATGACATTACCACAATGTTTTTATTCACTTATTAAATGATGCATATCTGGGTGAAATTTACTCTTAAAGCATTGGGAGTGATCATTTTACAAACAACACTCATTTTGTGTTCATATATGTTCAACTCCTTAGTATATATTTGTGTATAATTGCTATATCATGTGCTAACTCAATTTCTACCCATTAACACAACTACCAGATTGTTTCACAAAGTTGTAGTAACATTGCCCACTTCAAAAAGTGGCTAGACCATTTTTGATTCCCATATCTTTTCAACAAATAAACCTAAAGGACCCATAACTCATGTTGAGATAGAAGTGGTAGTTAAAAATATCCCAATTGAAAAATCCTAGAACATGGCAAATTTGGTGCAGAATTCATTCCACCAGACAGTCAAAGAAAATCTAACAATAATCTCCTCAAATTATTCCACAAAAAAGAAATATAAATGAACATTTCCAAATTCATTTTATGAAGCCACTTTATTACCCTGATGCCAAAAATCACACAAAGACTCAAGAAAATGGAATATTATATACCAATATTCTTCATGAACATAGATGTGTAGAAAGGGGAATACTCCTCCACTGCTGGTGGGAATGCAATCTTGTACAGACACTCTGGAAATCAGTAAGGTGGTATCTCAGAAAATCAAGAATCCACCTACCTCAAAACCCAGCAGTACCACTCCTGGGCATATACCCAAAAGTTGGTCAACCATACCATAAGGACATTTGCTCAACCATGTTCATAACACTGTTATTTGTAATATACAGAACCTGGAAACAATGTAGATGCCCTTCAACAGAAGAATAGATGAAGAAAATGTGGTGCATTTGCACAATGGAGTATTATGCAGTGGAAAAAAATGTCACCATGAAATTTGTAGGCAAATGAATGAAACTAGAAAAAATCATCCCAAATGAGGTAACCCAGACCCAGAAAGACAAACATGGCATGTACTCACTCATAAGTGAATGTTAGAAGCAAAGCAAAGGGTAACCAGGCTACAATCCACAACCCCAGAGAAGCTAGGTAAAGAGGAGGACACTAGAGGGACATATACAGATGGCCCCAGGAAGGGGAAAGATTTAAGATCTCCTGGGCAAAATGAGAGTGGGGAATAGAGGGCAGGGGATAGGAAAGGATGGGTGGTGGAACATGGGAGAGAGACAAGGAGGGAGAGCAATGAAAGAGATATCTTGCCAGAGTGTACCATTATGGGGATGGAGAGAAATCTGCAGCTAGGGAAAACCCCAGGAACTCATAAGATTGTCCCCAGCTAAGACTCATAGCAATGGTGGAGAGAGTTCTTGAACTACCCTTCCCCTGCACTCAGATTGGTGTCTATCCTAATTGTCGTCATAGAACCTACATCTAGTGACTAAAGGAAGCAAATGCAGAGACACACAGCTAAGCACTTGGCCAAGATCCTGGTGTTCAGTTGAAGAGAGGGAGGAAGAATTAAAGGAGTAAGAGGCATCAGGATCATGATGGGAAAAACCACAGAGATAGCTGACCCAAGCTAGTGAGAGATCATGGGCTCTGGGCTGACAGCTGGGGAGCCTGTATGGGACGACACTAGGCCCTCTGAATGTAGGTGAAGTTGCATGGCTTGATGTGTTTGTGGGTCCCCTGGCAAGGGGACTAGGACTTATCCTGGGTATGAGAACTGGCTTTTTAGAACCTGTTCCCTATGGTGACATGCCTTACTCAGCCTTGATGCAGGGGTGAGGGGCTAGGTCCGGCTCAAACTTGGTATGTCAGCCTGTGTTGACTACCCAAGGGAATCCTTATCCCCTACGAGGATGTGATGGGGGAGGGATGGGAGGAGCTGGTGGAGAAGTGGGAGAAGGGGAAGGAGGCGGAACAGGGGTTGGTATGTAAAAGGAAAGAAAGAATTTTAAATAAAATTTATTGAATGCTCTGTGTGTTCCTCTAATTTCACCATGTATTTTCCTATTTCTGCAGATTCTCTTAGGAAAAAAGGGCTCTGTCAACAGCTCTATGGTAAATGAGTTTGTTCTCCTAGGTTTAACAGTCAAGCCTGAGTTACAAATACCTCTTTTCCTGTTCTTCCTATTAACATATGTTACAACTTCATTGGGGAATTTAGCTTTGATCATTCTAGTTGTGCTGAATTCTCACATCCACACCCCCATGTACTTTTTCCTCTTTAACTTGTCCTTCATTAACCTCTGTTACTCTTCTGTTATTACACTAAAAATTCTGATGAACTTCAAATTAGAGAAGAACATTATCTCTTATATGGGATGTATGACCCAGCTCTACTTCTTTTTTTTTTTTTTTTTTTGCCATTGCTGAATGTTACACACTGACATCAATGGCCTATGATCGCTATGTGGCTATCTGCAATTCACTCTTGCATAATGTTGCCATGTCCCCTAAGGTGTGCTCCTATCTTATGCTTAGGTCATATTTGGTGGGGTTTTCTGATGCCACGATCCATATAGGATGTGTTCTGAGATTGTCCTGCAACAGAAGCACCATCAACCATTATTTCTGTGATCTTCATCCTCTGTTCCAGTTCTCCTGTACCAGCACATATATCAATGACATGGAGGTTTTCATTGTAGGGGCAAAAGAAATATTTGTTCCCACTGTTGTCATCTTTACCTCATATGGTTTTGTCC